TAGGGGAGCAGGGGTGGGGGGCAGGCTGGGAGCAAGGGGTGATGCAGCCCTTCCCTTCCCTTACTAGACCTACCATTCTTCAGCGCCAGAAGTAAACCCTCACCCCTTTTAGAGATGGCCCCAGTTCCCCTCTCAGGGGCTTGGGGAGAGGATTGGTAAGGGTGCAGCTGAAATCTATGGGCTCACATGCCCCAATCATGGGGCTGGGAGAAGTCCTTTCCCTGCCTTGGGATTAGGCAGCCCCATTTCAGGCATTCATCACTCTTCTGGGGCTGGGAAGGAATTTCTCCCTTGCTGCCTAATTGGCCTCTGCATGGGGGTGTGTGGGGGGGTGTCACCTTCCATTCAGCAGTTGAGGCCTGGGGTGGGTGGGGTGACATTGTCCAGTGCATGTTGCTACCATTTGGCCTGGGCCCAGTACTGGCAATGGTTCAACATAGGCTTGTGTGTCCCGATAAATCAACTAGAATTGGATATGGCAGCAGGGAATGGGGTGGGAGGAGACAGCCCTCTCCTCACCACCCCTTGGCTTGCATGCAAGAAGTGGGTACAAGGACATAGCTTATAGGGTGTGGGGAGATGGCAGCAGCCCTCCATCAGGTGGGAGAGATGGCAAAGGAAGGATGACTTATACAGGACTGGAATGACCGCTGCCTTCAAGGCAAGACTGGACTTTTGTCCAGAAGGGACAGTGAACCCCAGGCACACGACAGGGTGCACGGCAAAGGCAGTTGGATGCGATTCCATCACACAAGGAGTCACACTACTAGTTCTCTGGCACCTTCCCAAATCCATCCGTCTGTAACATAGTGCAGGAGGCATTCCCACACCCTGACTCGAGACCCCTCCTCACCCCATCATTTCTGCATGGGCTGGGTGGCTTCCCCGGGGTGACTGCTGCTAAACATTACTGGAGCTCACTCCAAGACCTGTGTTGGTGCCTTCTAGCATCTATGAAGGTCTCTGCTTATACAGCAACTCTCCTTTCCCAATGGCTTGTTCTGATCTGCAATGCTCCAACATATATCTTAGCCCTAATTCTGCTCCCTGATTGCACTTGAATCAGCAAAGCCCCTGCTGGGCTCTTCTGAAAATCCCACCCCAGGCAATAGAAGCTGTGTCTATGCTAGAGAAATGGTGCAATTCTCTCTCATTTTGGCCAATATCAGTTCAACTCAACAGCAGCGGAAGACAGAGATTAGAGCTCAGACTTATGCTATCATCGTGTCAGTCCAGTACTCACTGCCAACTCATTCTCAGCCTCAACTTACCATAGTCCAGGACTTAGGAGCATTTCTTTGCAGGACTGGCTAGCTAACACCTTGGTGGACTGGACACAGCAGTCGTGGTTTCCTTGCATTCACCAACAGACTTTAGTAGCCAGCGGCAGCTGTGACACACATGTGAACAGACCCTGGCAGGATCAAGTTAGTGTGTAGTGACTTCAGAAATAAAAAAAAATACTGGTCATTCACCTTAAGAACCTGGTTTTTATTCTATGTTAACCTCCGCCTTTATCCTGTGGTTAGAGCCCTCTTTTCTGCTGTTAAAATGCACAAGGTATTTGTACGATTGGCACATTTCTATGTTGTGACAGTTTTTCACGACCATGGTATAACTCTGCTTGGAATAACAAGCCACAATACGAAAGAACCCCGCATGTTATCGTACCCGCGTATTATACACATGCAAGTAAATGATCTTTCAGTAACCGCTGATTTACTTTATAATGTTGAGACCCAGAATGACCACAGTCTTTTGTTGCACTGCTGTTTGAGTTGTAAGGTGAGGACACACCAAAGCACAACAATTTAAAGCATAGTGGAAAAAAGGTAGCAACATCTAGATTTGTTTTCAACAGTTTGACAGGAAACACCAGAAAACCAGGCATACACAAAAGCCCATTATTTGTAATCAGTTAAAGATTTTTTTTTTTCTTTGCATAGTGAAGAGCTAATTCTATATCTGTTTGATCCTTTGCGGTGGGTGAAAGATACAGGGAAGAAACAGGTTTGCATCAAACAGCACATAGAGCGATCGTTCCTGCTTCTGAGCTACCGTCCCAGTAACGGATGCATCCCAGTTTTCGCCTAATTGCGAAGATCTACAAAAGATCCCATAGATCTACATCACAGTGATCTTCTGGGCCTTCCTGTCCACCTCCAAGAGTTGTACAAGGAATGGTCTTCCGCTTTCTCTCTTGAAAAATCAGAGAGGATGGGTTTGGATGAGATGCTTCCCAAGTGCACAGGACAAGCTCCTTGTCAGCCTTTCACTGAATAACTACAAGATGGCAAAGAGATCCCGGAAGTCCAGCTGAGAGCCCAGGAGGGCTATCCTTGAAGCATTGCTAAAGGCCTGTTTTTAAGATCAGTTATAGTCTTTAAGGCTTCTACCTCCCCCTTGCTTTCAATGATAAAATACAAAGCACTTGTTCAAGCTCTACGTCATTGACTACTGCATACTGCATGTACAATATCGTTTGAAGAAAAGAAATACTGACAATATAGGACAGCATTATACAATCATCTTGCGCAATCCATTCTTTTGGCACTTTTCCTTCATTTGCTTACTGATTGACATCTGTCATCGCTGACCCCAGGAAAGCATGGCGATACTTATTCCCCCTCCGACGGAGGGAATGCCATAGATTCAGAGCAACTGTTCAGTCACGTGGCATCTTTGGCAGATTCAGTCATTCAGCTATGACACAAAATCTCAAGCCCCTTCTGGTCACACGGAAGTGCTACGAGCCAGGGCAACTGCTTGCTAGTTAGTCTTCCAGAAAGGCAGGAAGGTGGGGGAAGGTGTCCGAGATCTCAGACACGTGCCTGCGCCTTCTGGCAGACCAGAGGGATTGTGCTGCATCCCTCAGAGAACTTGGTATCAGAAAAGGAGGAAGATTAACGATGATTTCCAAATACATCCATTTTAAATAAATACTTGGTTTTGCTCTAGTGCCTCCGCAAAATGTGGAGATCCTGAACAGCATCCACAGTTCTGGTGTCTCAGTGCGAGCTGTTATTTGACCGGTATTTCTCCTTGCGACAAAGGGAGTGTGCATTTGACTGTTAGCGTGCGAGAGGGGCTGGGAACTTCTCTTCTTTTAAGTGAGGTTACATAAAGTACGTCTTTTTAAACACAAGCTTTTTAGTAATAAAAGCCTTGTTCTCCTTCAGGACAGTGTTAAATGAATAAATACATTCCCTTAGATCGTATCTTAAAATCGCCTCTTCAGTCTTCGGCCTCTCCTCCTGCAATCTGCACCAGCACATCAGTGGAAAGATGCCCAGCACCTTCGCAGGACGCAGGGGCAGGCTGCAGGGGTCCGGTCATGCTCTCGCTAACTTTGAAGGGAGCAGGATTTGGGCTGCGCTCTGGAACTGGAGGGTGACTGACTGGGGCCCGTCTTCATGAAGCAATGAGATGGCGAGGATAATTTTAAGGACTGCACTTGTGTTTCACAGAAAGGTTGCATTACTGGACTGCAAAACTAGCGCAATGCTTTGTGAATAAGCACCCCCTCGAGCCAGCCCCACCACCACATTGGAAGATGCTGCTGCATCCGGGCAGTGACCAGCTTTTCAAAAAGGAACAAGGTCTTTTCAGACCTGCAATTATTCTATACGTGCACACAGAAACCAAAGGCCCCCTTAAATAAATATGGATGCAACGGACCAACACCGTCAGAAGGGCCTAGCAGGGTCCAGAGCTGTATCTACTGAATCAGTGGCAGCTTTGCTATCGAGACAGACCTTTTGTGTGAGCAACCCATAGAGAACAGAGCACATAACAGACATTCAAGCATTATTTTCTTCCACAGAGCTTTGGCTCAAGGAACTTTTTTGCCCTAGACAGTGCCTCTTACACATCCACTGAGACTCAGATTTTGTACAAAAAGAGATTAAACACACAATGCCCTCCCCCCCTCCCCCATATTTAAAAAAAGTGTTCAAAAACAATCCAAAAAAAGGACACTGGCCTGGTGGGCAGGACCCCCAAAATCTCATTCCCAGAAGACATGCACTCGATTTGTAAAACCCACACCAGGCTCTCTCAGCAAAGCCAGCGCTAGAAGACACCATCATGAGCACGCTGAGAAAGGATGGGGACTGACTGAGGAAGCCGGGTTCAAGTTTCAAGGCATTAACTGGGGGTAAGAAAATCGAAATAAAATAAACCCAGAACGTCTGGATAGTACAAAAAGTTTTAGCTCTTAGAACAAGGGAATGAAGGGTACATAAAAAAAAGAAGCAATTCTGTCCTTAAATTATCCTGCTGTTCTTAAGCACTAGAAGGGGCCAAATTCAACCCTCAGTTATTCACATCCACCCCACCCGACTGACTTCGACTAAGTCAATGACTAGCCAACGTCCTTGACATCCACTGTTGGCTTCAGCAAGCTCAACTCCCTTCGAGTGAATGAATTTGTGCCTGCTTCAGTCAGCAGTGCGCTTGGCCCGGTGAGGTTGCAAGCGCGTAACTGAGGGCAGAATTCTCTCTCCAAAGAGGGTCAGACCGTACCGAACCCGCGTGTGGCAGCCATCCGGGTATAGTCGCGTGCGGAGACCCAGCACCCTTTTCCTGACTTCGCATACCATTTGAACATCCAGCAGTTGGTGTGTTAATGCGATAATATATTATGTCATCATTGCTACAAGATTTCTCAAAACGAAAAAGTGTCGATCTGTTGAAATATAGTATTTAAAATATATAAATTTCATCCATTAAAATATAAGATTTCTTATTTCTTTTTCTTCTCTTTTTAAAAAACAAAACCAAAACCAAAACCAAAACATCTGGTTCAAAGTAGCATGGAGCTTCAGGGTCCTTGTAGTTACACTGTGGAAAGGGGAAAATAAAACCAATTTCTTTGATCCCAGGAAGGCAAGCCATTCATTACCACACGAGGAGAGAAGCTGCCAAGGTACAGGAGGTGAAGAGATGTATCTGAGAGGGAAGAGAACAATTGAACTCTTCTACAATCAACCCCCAGCGGTATGCCATGCAACCAGACCTTCCCCAGACCCCATCCATCCACCCAGCAGCCTGCCACACTATCCCTTAGGCATCTCTTCCTATCTATCACCTGGTGCCAGGGCCCGCAAGACATTCGCTGGCAGATTCGCACCACGAAGAGAAAGGTTGTATTTAAAGCAGAGAGACCCGTGTACTAGCAGGCCTGGACTCACAGTGAATACACTGAAAGGCAGTACTCAAGCAGGGAGCAGGCTTGACATTTCTGAGCCCGCTGCTGGTGGGAATTGAGGGAATTTCAGTTCAGTTTTTAACAGCGATGATAATTACAGGTGGGAGGAAAAGGAAGAATGAATCATAGTCCTCTCCTAAGTAAATGCGCCCGATACTGGCTTTGGGCATGAACACTTAATATACCCAGTGACGCCAATCCTGTCCTGTAACCAGTCCAAGACAGAGGAAAACCAGCACCCGTTGGACATGCTGCACCGGCACCATGCAGAGCTGGGGGAAGCTCGCCTGGGTTATAAAAACAATTCTGCTGAATCTACCCAGGTGACGTAGCTTGCTTTTCAGAGTACGGCACTGAAAGGCCTATACTGTTTCCTATACCTGAGCTAGCCACACACAGCCCGTCGTGCCTTGTGGACAGATAGGTTGTCTTCTTGAATACCAAGCAGGCTGTCTGGGACATTGGTTATTTGGGCCATGCTGTGACACCAAAATAACGGTGCGAGAGCGCCCTGCAGGAACTGGCTGGACTGACCGCCACGTCTGGGGTGCACAACGTGCTCTCCCATGGAGAGGGCCCTGGACCGAGAGTCAAGCATACTGGGTTCCCTTCCCAACTCCAACGGCAGCTTATGACTCGACTGCAGGCAAGCCACTTAGGCCCGGGACGTCACTGGGTGTCGAACACCCAACGTGAAACGGCAAGAGCCAAGATACTGAAAGGTGCTGGATACCCGCAGCTCTCACGACTCCAATGGGAGCTTTGCATTACCCAAAGTTGGTGACTATATTGGGATGTTGCCACAGCTTACACATTCACGAAGCCATGGCAGCAGATACTTAGAGATATGAGATGCTTTGAACAGGAGTGGGAGAAAAGCGCCAAAGGCATTGTTATGACTGCAGGACTCTGGTTCCCCAGCATCTTTAAAGATGCTTATAGGGGAGTCACAAGGAAATGAAATCAGTTCCTTACAAGGGTGCAGGGGGAAGAGGGCCAGAAAGGAAAGTCTCTCTGCTCGTAGATGCCAGGGCAGGGGTGGGCAATTATTTTGGGCAGAGGGCCGCTTACTGAATTTTGGTAAGCCATCGAGGGCCACATGACAGGCAGCCAGGGCCAGATAAATATTAATTTTATAATTATTTAGGGGCCCCATGGGCCGGACAGAATGGCCTGGCGGGCCGCATCCAGCCCCCAGGCCACGTTTTGCCCACCCCTGCACCAGGGGAACCCAAGCAGAGCAGGGTGGAAGTCTCCACTTTCCCTGACGGCATACAGCTCATTTTCAGGAACACATTCTCAGTAACGTCCTTGTTTTCCACATTTCCTACTTTGTGTCTGGCTTCATGCACCGTGTAAATAACCTGACTGCCGGATGGATTTCCCTTTGTGTGCCCTTGAAGGAGTGTTACAAAACTGCATCCTACTCTTAGCTCTCATTAACTGGAAAGAAAGCATGAAGCAGAACCACGTTCCCGCCCTACTGCTATAAATTTATGAAAAATTCAATGATTATACACTGTGAGAAGAATCCATGCACCATTTCTAGCAGCAATGTAAGAGAGTGGAAAAGGACATAGGATTGGAGGCCTTAACACTGGCCTAGCTGATTTATGTGACTAGGTCTTTTCAATTTCTGTCTCTGCTGGGAGGGCAATACAGCAACGCGCAGGCAATCAAGGACCTTTTTGGAGAGTGCTGGGGACAACTCCTGGTGCAAGTGTTGGAGAGGCCAGGTAGGGGCCATGCTCTTGTCGACCTGCTGCTGACAAACAAGGATGGCTTGGTGGGGAATGTAGTAGTAGATGGCAATTTGGGCAGCAGCAACCACGAGATGATTGAGTTCAGGATCCTGAGGAAAGGAAGGACGAAGAGCAGCAGAGTAAAGACCCTGGACTTCAGAAAAGCAGACACTGATGCACTCAGGGAACTGATAAGCAGGGTCCCCTGGGAGGCCTGTCTGAAGGGGAGAGGAGTCCAGGAGAGCTGGCTGTATTTTAAAGAAACCTCACTGAGGGCAGGAACAAAGTATTCGGATGTGCAGGAAGACTAGCAAGTATGGCAGAAGACCAACTTGGCTTAGCAGGGAACTCTTCAGGGAGCTAAAGCACAAAAAGATAGCATACAAGAAGTGTAAACTTGGACAAATGACTACAGAGTAGTATAAGGTATAAGAGTATTGCTTGGGCATGAAGGGCTAAAATCAGGAAGGCCAAAGCACAACTGGAGTTGCAGCTAGCAAGGGATGTAAAGGGTAACAAGAGCTTCTACAAGTGTCAGCAACAAGAGGAAGGTCAGGGAAAGTGGGTCCCTTGCTGAATGGAAGAGGAAACCTAGTGAGAGATGATGAAAAAAGGCTGAAGTATTCAATGCATTTAAACCTCAGTCTTCCTGGCAAGGTCAGCTCCCAGATTACTGCCCCTGGCAGCACAGTTTGGGGAGGAGATGAGTAGCCAGCAGTGAAAGAACAGGTTAGAGACTATTTAGAAAAGTTGGATGTGTACAAGTCCATTGGGATGGACAGGATGCATCCAAGGGTGCTGAGGGAGTGGGCTGATGTGATTGCAGAGCTGCTGGCAATCATCTCTGAAAACTCATGGCAATTGGGGGAGGTACCAGATGATTCGAAAAGTGTGAATATAGTGCCCATCTTTAAGAAAGGGAAGAAGGAAGATCCAGGGAACTACAGACTGGTCAGCCTCATCTCAGTCCCTGGAAAGATCATGGAGCAGGTCCTCCAGGGATCCATTTCTAAGTACCTGGGGAACAAAGTGATTAAGCAACAGTCAGCATGGATTCACAAGGGGCAAGTTATGCCCGACTAACCCGATTGCCTTCTGTGATGAGATGACTGGCTCTCTGGATGCAAGAAGAGCAGTGGATGTGATGTACCTTGACTTTAGCAAGGATTTTGATATGGTCTCCCACAACATGCTTGCAAGCAAGCTCAGGAAGTACAGGTTGGATGGAGTGGACTGTAGGGTGGACAGAAAACTGGCTGGATGGTCAGGCTCAAAAGGTAGCAATCAGTGGCTCAATACTTAGTTGACAGCCGGTACCAGGTGGAGAGCTCCAGGGGTCAGTTCTGGGGCCAGTTTTTTGCAATATCTCCATAAATGACCTGGAACATGGGATGGAGTGCGAACTCAGCAAGTTTGGGGAGTAGTAGATACGCAGGAGGGTAGGGCTAGTAGCATTCAGAGAAACAGCCAGACTGGAGGATTGGAACAAAAGAAATCTCACGAGGTTCAACAAGGAAAAATGCAAAGTCCTGCACTTAGGAGGGAACAATCCCATGCACCAGTACAGGCCAGGGGCTGACTGGCTTTGCAGGCGCACCGCAGAAAAGGGACGGGGGGTGTGGGAG